AAACTCTTTCGAACTAACCCAGACTAAGTCGCCTACTTGAAACTGTGAAGGGCGATGATGTTTGTTTGCTTGTTCTATCATCCTATGCTGGGCTTTCCTAAGGTTTTCTACAACAATAGCTAGTTCTTTCTCGTGCTGTACAGCGAACTCCCGTGTCCCGGGCGGCAATCTCTGAATCTGATCCCGGTTGAGTCCCTCAAACGGTCTGCGCGGTCTAAAGGACTTGTGCAGTTCGTTGGGTGCACATCATGGGCCAAGGGATACAGGGCAGACTAACGCCGCACAGAAGTATAAATCAAGAGGCTGCGTCCAGCCATTCATTCATTCCTGCGGATGCCATGCGGAAGCGCTGCCTCAGCAGCTTGTGCGAGGAGGTCTGCAGTGCGCCCGAAGACGAAGAGGGCAGTGAAGTGTAGTGTAGCGATAGGATAGTGGCAGCCATAGCTGCCATAGCTATAGTAGCGTGTGTGTGTGTGTGTGTGCGCTGCCTCAGCAGCTTGTGCGAGGAGGTCTGCAGTGCGCCCGAAGACGAAGAGGGCAGTGAAGTGTAGTGTAGCGATAGGATAGTGGCAGCCATAGCTGCCATAGCTATAGTAGCGTGTGTGTGTGTGTGTGTTGCGTGTAGAGTGTTGCGTGTGGGACATCCAGGGTGATCCAGAGTGCGAACAGTGAGTTGTGTGGGCACTCAGTCGCCATAGCCAGTTTGAAGAGAACTCTTACCTGGTTACGATATCTTTGAGTACTGTGTGGGCGCATGTCGCCAGTTTGCTGTTTCGCTGTTTGCATGCATGACAAGTGTGAAGAAGTCGAGTCTGATTGCAAACCTACCTTTGAGTCCTTGACCGTATGCTCATCAGAAATTGGAGTAGGTGGTTCGCTGGTTAGATACACAGTGTATTACACACCCATTTTTCCCCCTTTGTTTTTGGAAGAAAAAAAAAAGGGGACGGCCTTGAGATATCATCTATGAACTGACCGGCCGCAGGTAATTCAAAATGATTTTAAGTCTTGCTCATCTGACCATAATCGGATTTGAACTTGGGTGACGTTGGGGCGTCTGTATTTCAACAGTTCTGTAGGTGTACCGACCGAGCTAGGCCCGTTGGTATACACGCCTAATTCTATGTCTTCCCCAATTGTCAATCTTTCCTCATTGGGCAGATTTCCACAGGCATGTGTGGAAATGTGCCTACTGTCACACTTTTCTTGCCCGCAATGTTCCTACCTCAACAAGTCGGCTCATTAATGAGCTCATGTATTGACCCACATACTTCTGTGAAAAATTCACCAAAAAGAGAGAGGCGCTTAAGGGAGACCCAAAATTTCAGCGTTTTTTTAATGCTATTTATAAGAAAACCAGAAGGCCTTTTTAACCAAAAGTTGCATCATTCCATAGAGTGCACACCATATTAACAAACCATAAAAAAAAAAAAAAAAAAAAAAGGATGAAACAGTAAGGCAAAAGTGCACTTGAATGACATTTTGGATTCTCAGCGAATTTTCAGAATTTTCAGCGTTTTTGGAAATGGTCTTATGACTGTTATCAGAGGAAATTCCAATGCTCCAAATGAGACCAAATTTGGTACACAACAACCTTGAACTAAGACAAAACAGGCAAAAAAAAAAACAAAAAAAAAAACATAAGATTTCCCGCCCAAACCCTAATTTCAGTTTTGGACCTGTTACTCAGGAGCTGAAACTGGGGGTCCCGTTAACCACGTGTGCAAAAAGATCCCCTCAAATACTCTCAAAGTCCAAGGTTCCCAACGCAGTCATATGGTTGGTCGTTCTCCTTACAGATGCCCTTAGCTCTGCATCAATGGACCAGCTCATCAATGGTGCTCTTATTATTCAATTCAGAACACGTATTTCGGATTTCCTTACTGTCTCAGAATGTGTATGTCGTTGATCCTTCACGGAGTAACAGGGGGGGAGGGAGGGTTAAATCACAGGAAGTAGAACGTGCATGGGTCCTGGAGACCATCTCACGCAAGTGTGTACATGCCATGCATCGTTCTCCCACACACATCGAACAGTAGTCTGATAATAGACAAAGGTAGAGAAGATGAGAACCGAGTTTCACAGCTTATATTATCAAAAATATGAATACAAAGTGTTTCAAAGTTTCCCTGAGTCCAGCGCTCATCAGCGCAACACCAATATCTTGCCAACTCATCAATATGCCTTCCAGTGAATCAGTGCTACCCCTGCAGATAGTCTCCAAGTCATCAATGTGGTCACCACTCATCAATGCCACCTCTGCATATACACTCTTCAATACTCATGAGGATCTACTCTGGATACTACTCATAGCTACATACTAACCCTCTACTTCTAATGCCAACTCGCTGGGCAGCTATGGCTGCATCACTTCCAGCATACAGGCATCTTCCTTCCTCCAGCGCATCTTCTCCTCCAGCGCTGCTCCTCCTGACTCAGCGCACAAGTGCACCAGCACTTCCACGCATTGGCAGCCAATGGAGATCTGGGTAGGAATGAGGCTGGCTGCCTCCTTTATACTCCTCGCTGGGTCTGTATTGGCTCAATCYAGCCTTCCTTTTGTCCCAGACCCTGCATTGCATGTGTCCCAGTAGAGTCCCAAACGAAGTTCAACTGCTGCTGAGGCCTCCCGGCCTGAATTTGGACTTGAAAGTCTGGATCTGGACTGACCCCTGGACTTAGACCAGAACTGGGACTGTGCCTATTGACTTTACTTTCGGACAGGCGCAACTCTCAACGAACAGACACATTTACTGCTTGAATAGACACTTTACTTGGCACGAACAGACACACTGCCTGCACGTACAGACACACCCTTACCCAAACAGACATGACATACACATCTCCTGGTGAACAGGTAAGTCTTTTGACAATGCCCTTTGCCTTAGTTTTAAATATGCCTGTTGATAGAGAACTTGACCTTTGACCTGCTTTCACGTTTCTGAGCTCTGACGAGATACCTTTTCACAATGCTTTACTTTTTCAAGGCCCGTGCTGCTTTATTTTTACAAGGCCTGAGGCCTATATCGGGTAAAGGCCCTTTTAAACGGTAGTAGGTTGCCTAGAGTCTGATTGATGGAACAGCGGGATCACCTGTAGAGGTTGGAGTCTGGTCATATCCGGGGCGCCTTGCTGACTGGTCGTTCCCGGTATAATCTGGGGTGTACGTAATATGGATACCCCCCATAGTAGGTGACTGGTAGGGCCACAACTTGTGATTCAATTTTCATACAGAAATTAGAGGGTACCCCCCAATACAGATAGTATCATAGTAGAGGTTAAAAAAAACAGAAACTTTCACATTGGAGTTATTACTACTTATTAGTACCCCTACTCGTTTTATATGCATAAAGATGGCCATTTCTGCTGATTTCCTGTGTTGGTTTCTGGCTTGGTGCTTCTTTTCTTCTTTTTTGGACGACTGCAGGTTGCTGACAAGGAAGAGAAGTATCAGAAGAGAATTGATGAGCTGGAAGCTGCTTTAAGGGATATAAAGTCCCGGTTCAAGGATAAAGAAAGACATTGTGAGATGCTCCTCAAGATGTTAAAGGATGTGGAGAGTCACAAGCAAGAGGCTGAAACAAAGGCTACTCATGAGGAGGAGAGGAGGACAAACCTAGAGCGTGGCCTTGAAAAGGTAACAAACATGGATTTAGAGTATCTGCTTATCTGCTTATCTGCTTATCATTGCCCAATAGTTCTTTTTTTCCCTTCATCATAAGTTTATAACTTTATAGTCTAAGATTTCAGGGCATCACCAACGAGCCTAGCTCAGTTGGTACACCCACGAACTGTTCGAATACGGACCCAAGTTCGAATCCAGATACAATCAGATGCCCAGAACAACATAATTCTGAATAGCCTGGGGCCGGTCACCTTCAATGATGAGATATCTCAAGGCCGTAGCCCTTTTCAAAAGATTTCAGAGCATTTGACCGAGTCAAACGTCACTTGAAAGTTGAAATCATTTCTTAGTGAAACTGATTTTACTATTTTAGTAATGCTCCATAGTTTGACAGGCTGTTTTTTTCCCAGATTTCCTTGAGCTTTTTGTTTTTCAAAATTGATGTCACACTGTTACAGTGTCACACACTTTTTTGGCACAGTTGTGTGGTGTATGACGCAGGAAATGCACCGGACATGCACATCTTTTGTGCGCACATATTCTGTGGTATTGCAGGAAATGCACCGGACATGGGGATCTGGATAAAATGATAAAAATCTACAGATGCAAAGAAAGTGTGGTATGGCAGGATTTTAAGTTTTGAACGTGATTAGACGGTTTCAGAATTCATACCATGTTCTATTCAATGTCATGTTGATTTCTCTCATGTTGTACAGGGGCAAGCAAAGATGATCAGGAGATGAACTCATGATTATTGATGTTGTTGCTGACCTGCCAGGTTACCAGCCGGGACGCCCAGGTCACCTTGTTTGACCGGGCAGCCCGGCCGTGCGAGGACCAGAAAAGGGCCCAGCAAAACAAAACAAAAAGAAAAAATCCAAAAACTCTGAAAAAAAAACTATGTGATGCACAAAAATAAACTGAACAACTTTTGCCTCAGAGTCACATCGAAATTCTTTACCAAACTTGATTTGATTTTTTTAATTCTTTTTGGCCCGGCCGGTCAACTTGCCCCAGTCCAATCTGGTAGCCTAGCTGACCTCATTATTCTGATTATTCTTCACAGTGTGGAATGTTCTCACCAATTTTGTCTGTGTGAAGCATCATCACACATTGCGGAGACGATTGCAACACCACGAAATGTGTCGGTGTACCACTCGATAGATTTGAATGAAGTACTAAATTAGTGGGACCGGGTCGGATGGCTGTGAAATCCTGTCACACATCTATCTTGAATTTGGATTTGGACCATTTCTCGATTTATGCGTATCTCCCCTTTCGTTTTTTCTTTTTCTTTTTTTAATTCGGACCATTTCTCGATTTATGCGTGTCATCCTTACTTGCGCAGGGGCCATGCTAATCCTCTCTCTTTGTGTATCATTCCAATTTTAATGGATGTCCCAAGAGCACCCTTTCTTCTTTACTTTGAAGAAGCCCCAAAAAAAAACAAATATGGCCGGTGATTTTTCGCAGAAAGTAGAAGCAATAAAAAAAAAAGCCATCTATGTTTTTTATGGTAATCTGCCTGTTGCAAGGAAACCCACACATGAGAGACTCACATGAGAGACTCACATGAGAGACTCACATGAGAGACTCACATGAGAGACCCACATGACAAGCATCATGAACTCTCTTGGCCACTGCATATATGGCAACCAGTCTAATAGCTAAGACAACAAAGCAATGATCACACCGTCGTAAGAACGGCCAATGATGAAGCCTTTGATGTTCGAACGCCTCCCTCTCGCCTCCCATAAATCAATACGAGTGCAAACAACAGTGACAGTAAAACAACTGTGAACAACAGTAATAGTTCCCTGCCCTTGCTGGCCTCTCAGACAGAAGGTATGACCTCCTACTCTAGCCTGGACTACAATACGTACAACGCTGCAGATGACAGTGTGGCTCCCACTGATGCCTGCTGAAGAGCATATCCCGCTGGATCTCTTCGTTGGCAACGGCCAGGCAAGTCCCTTCCCAAGTCCTTTCGCCTCTGCGGCCTTCCCGTTCCTCCAAGGATCTCTCCCCTTCCGGTTCTGTTTCCTCTTCTACAGCTCCATCTTGTCAGCCCAGCTATAGCTGGTGTTGTCTTGATGCTAAGTACTGCCCTCTGATGCTAACCCTGGTTTGACCCAGTGCCCCTGCGCCTGTCGGCATCGTGCATTTGGAAGATGTTTTTGAACTGCCCTGGCCTTTTTTAATGTTTAATGATAGCAGAGTCAGGCCCCTGCTCAGCTGGTAGGTATGTCCTTGCGGAATCTTGAGGTTAAGGTCGTGCACTTACCATGTCCCTGTCTGTACTAGTTGTGGCTGTGTCGTACTCTTACAGCGCTGGTAGACTTTACAACGCTGTATTTACCGGACACAGTCAGTTTTCGTTCTACCGTCTTTTCACCCTAATCGAACGGCCGTGGTCATGACAACCGTATTTTGTGCAACTGTCAGTCTACCTACAACGATAATGACCGGGCATTCTATTCGGTTGAAGATGGTAGTCCACATGGTAGGATCGCAGCAGGTTAGCATAAGTCTTCTTTTTTCTCCAGCAGAAATGCCCTTTTTCATATCATGACATTCACCTAGTATCAAACTGCACATCTCTTCATTGTCTATAAAAGGCACAGCCTATCCTCACTGTCAGATGTTGGGAACACCAGCCCGTCAGTGTTTTTTCTATATTCGGGAGCTTCATGGGGTTTCTCGACTACCTCACCGATAACAGTTCGTAGAATCGGGTCATCTGCATGTACAGCCTTAATCTTCTGCTGCAACTCCTTTCCAGCATCGTGATGCGTCAGTATAGTTCCAAGTAACCTTGCCCTTTTAGATAGTGCATTTGCAACAATGTTATACTGACATTTGGCAGGTGTTAAGGTTAGGGAGTGGCTAGATTGGTTTTGTAGTTGTGTACGTAGATGACATATTTGTGTTCCGTAAAACGGTGGAAGAACATCGGAAACATTTGCAAAAAGTTCTCAGCTGATGTAGAGAATAACTCCGAAGTTAATCCGAAGAAGTGGTGAGTGGACTAAGCAGAAAGTGCAGTGCTTGGCCATACAATTGATGGAGAAGGAGTTAGACTGGAGGATGCAAAGATAGCTGCAATTAGAGATTGGCATACACCAAAGACACTGACGGAACCACGGTCCTTCCTAGACCTAAGCGATATAAGATAGGAAGTATGTCCGTAACTTCAGTACTACTGCAGCACCCTTGTCCATACCAGGTACAAAATGCAGTCTTATGCGGATCTTCAGGCTGTACCTCTATGTGATGGTATCCCGATTTCAGATTTCGATCTATCTTAAAAATATATATATTTTGCATCCCTGCAACCTGTCTAACAGATCATCTATCTGTGGCAGTGGGTCAGCATTCTGCACTATAATACCATCCAGTCCCCTATAGTCCAGACACATCCTTAATGCTCCTTCCTTCTTGGGAACAAATAGCACAGGTGCACCATAAGACGATGAGCTAGGCTTAATTCACCCCTTCTCAATCAACTCGGCCAATTGTTTTCTTAGTTATTCTAATTCTCTAGTTGACATCCTATATATAGTTTGGTCACTTCGGTGTCTGTCTTCCGACCTCAATCTCTATCCGATGTTTGATCTCTCTTTCCACTACTCCGCTAGGTGCCTCCTCTAGGTCTGCAAACGCTTTCACGAGCGTTCGAGAAGTGGTTGCACTTTCGCTCACTCGCGGGCTTCACGTAAGCCACATGCACTTGATGTACCAGTTTCTGCTTTACTACGTGCCTAGCAAACGCAGCTGCACTCATACAGCAGAGGGACAGGGCAGGCTTCAGACAGGACTCGATATATTTGCTCACTCATGGAGGGAAGTGATTTCCAGAGGTGGTGAAGAGTTACTGTTGAGTGGGATTGTTATCTGAGTGGGCATCTCTATCTTCTTCCTCCCTCCACCTCACAAGTGGTTAACTGAGACCCCGACTTTCCACTCCTGAGTAACGGGTGCAAAACTGAAATTAGGGTTTGGGACCGTTTGGGGGCAAATTTTAGGTTTTTTTGTTTTGTTTTGTTTTATCTGAAAATTGAGGCCTGCGTTAACCGCCTCTCTTCCACCTTCCTTCTTCTCCTTCATCCTTTTCTCTTTTTCAGCGTATGCGCCAGTGGGGAAGAATCTTCCATAAATGTTGTTCTTCCTCTGATTGTTCTCACATTGAGTTGACGTGCTGTGTGTGTGGACTTCTCAAGAGATCTTGATGCACACCCCTCCCCCTCAGGTGTATTTGTGTGTTTCATTGGCTAAAGTCTTTCGCGTATTCCTTGCATAACATTCCCCTACGAGGAAACATCCTTGGTCAGTGCACAAGCAGACTCCACCCCCTGTCTGCAACTCCAGTGTTCATTTTATGCATCTCTTCATCTTGTCTCAAAACAGTTGCTTAAAGATCCCAAGTTAGTGTTGGCCTTGGGAGGTCACATGACTCACATCCATTGTTGTATTGTGTCTGGTGCCAAGTTTGTTATGACTCAGTGTTTTCCACGCTCACCCGCTCACACTCTAACCCAACGTTTGTCATGGCCTACGAGTGGTAAGAATGACATTGTGTGGATTGACCCGGCTGTGCAATCACAGGCCCAGAAATCACTTGAAGATGTTGTCAGAACCGTCGGCGAGTTCCGGAGGAAAGAAGAGGTCCTCAAAAGAGAGTTGGATCAGGCAAGGAAGTTTATTGAAGAGGAGAAAAGAAGAGTGACTGAAATTGATGCATATCGAAATGATGAGGCAACAAGGAGAGCGATCTTAGAGATTCAGCTGCAAAATCTTCAAGACGAGGTAAGGTGCAACCAGGCCAGCAGGACTACAAAGATCAGGACCAGTAAACAATCATTTAACAATGCCGAACCACATCACAATGTGATAGAGCAATGAGAACTGGCCAAAAGAGTCAATAAACCGGAAATTAGTTGCATGCAAGGAATCAAGTACGAGTACTACGAGATGTGTTTTGTGGATCAACCAGAGGGACATAAGCTCTACAGCATGACACATGAGAGAGCGTTGCGATCATCCAGGAACATTAATTTTTCCTCTTTGTGCCCACCCTAGTGACAATCCAGGTGCTTTCCACCGGCACGTAAACTGAAACCTACATAGTATGATAGCATGACTCACTCCATGCTTCCTTCCGTCCAGCCCGGAGGAAACCTGACCACCATCAATTGCTCCCTGAGGGAACAATTGACTGTCTGTTCGCCTTTCCTCCTGGAGTCTCTTTCAGTCTCAGCTCAGCGGGGAGTGCCGTACTGACGTGTGCAACAACTTCGGAGGGATCAGGTTGCAGCAGTGTGTTGTGGTTGATCACTTGCTGAAGGCCTCCCCCTAGAAAATCACTTGGATTTTCCATGCCCTTCGCTGCTAGGTTGTCATTGTGTACCTCCCAGGTTGGGTGTTGTCGTTCCTCTTTAAGCCCTCCCGCCGCTTCCGCTTCGGTTTGTTGTCGTTGATAGTGACGATTTTGCCCCGCAGCTTGGCGAAAGCTCTCTTCCAGGCCATGAATTTGTCTGGCATCCTAAAAAATATGGGGAAACTGCCGATGTGCTCCAGGCACTGGCAATTGGACTAGACGAGTACATTGCCAATTACAAAAGGTTGTTGGCCGGCCATTCTCGATCTGCTTCTTTCTCGTCTCTTTCTCAGAAGCTGAACAGCCGGCGTTCTGCAATCCTTGCGACTTGTCAATCCAATGCATCTTTGTTCCCCAATCATGTGAGCCAGCCACGTTCACTACGTTCTACATATGCCTCCTTGCAACATCTTCAACAACACTTTGCCATTGCCCCTGTGGACAAAACATCACACACTTTGGCAATTTGCCGCAAGAATTGGTATTTGTTTCATCTCTCTACCCATTTGGACAGTCCCACTTATACTCGTCCTCAAGAGTCCGTTGCTGATGTCCTTGACCACCATGCAGTGTGGAATCACCATTGGGGTTACACCCACACTGATACCCTACCTTACCTTTACTATGTACTCAAAGCTCACAAGTCTCCTCCAACTCTTCGCAGCATTCTTGGAGTCACAGCACAAAATAAGAGTGTTGTTCCCCCGGGTGCTCGCCCTCGTCCAACAATTCGCACCATTCATGAACGGCCTCCTCACAAACCGTTGGCTAGCACAATGACTACTCCGTCGTATCTCAGCTCTGCTTTGCAAGGAGTGATCCCTACTCTTCGCGAGAAAGACACTGAGCTCTATCAACAGGTTGGTGTTCAACGGTGCTGGATCGTTCAAAGTGCCGATGAAGTGGCGATTGACCTGAAAAACAATGCATCGTCTCTTTGTGGCCTTTCTCCTCGCACCGTTGATTTTACCACAATGTACACCAACCTTCCTCATGACCGCATTTTGAATAATGTGGCAAAAGCTGTTGATGAAGCTCATGCTTATGCCCTTCGGCAAGCTCGCACGCATTCACGCTGCGTTGCCCTCAACATGGTTATTCGAGGACCTAGTTGTGGCCAATGGACAACTGATTCAGGCCCGGATACCCTTTCTGTTTCTCAGATTCTCCTACATCTTCGCTTTGTTGTACAAAACACTTTTCTATACACGAGAGATGACACGCTTCGGAAACAAATTATCGGTATTCCAATGGGAATGAATGCTGACCCAGAAATTTCTAATCTGACGCTGTATTGGGATGAAGCACGCTTTGTTGATGACATTCGTCAACATGATCTTCAAGCTGCTCAACAATATGCCTTCACCTATTGCCTCATTGATGATGTTCTTTCATGGGGACAATTACCTCCTCCACCAGAACACTATGGGCTTGAGTGGAAGGAGACTACAGCTACAGATGGCTCCTGTACCCTTTTAGGTATGCATCTACAGGTCCGTTCCGATGGCTCGCTTCGCATCAGCCTCTTTGATAAAGTGGCTGCTTGGGACTTCCCTTTCATTCGTTATCCAAGTGCGACCTCCAACATCCCTTCCTATCAACCGGCTGGTGTGTTCGCTGGGCAATTGACCAGATTTGAATAAATCTGTAACAATTGGCAGGACTTTCGAACTGCGGCAACAACACTTACTCGCTGTATGCTTTCGCGTGGGCATTCCCCACCAACCCTTGCTAAGGGGTGGACCTGCTACAACGTCGCTATCCTACACATGTAACGCGTCTCTCTCAGTGGTTCCGACGCATGTTCCGATGGTCCTTGTATCATCCAATTTCTTCTTCGCCCCCACGATGCTCTCGTCCTGCCCCTGCTTGCTCATCTGCTGCTACCGCAGTTTCCACTGCTGCAGTCTCCACTCCCGCAGTTTCCATTGTTGGAGTCTCCACTCCTGCAGTTTTCACTGCTGCAGTGTCCACTGTTGCGGTTTCCACTGCTGCAGTTTCCACTGCTCCAGTTTCCACTGCTGCAGTGTCCACTGTTGCGGTTTCCACTGCTGCAGTTTCCATTGCTCCAGTTTTCGCTGCTGCAGTTTCTACTGCTGCGGTTTCCACTGCTGCAGTTTTCAGTACAGCAGTTTCCCTAACTGTAATTCCCCCTACTTTAGTTTTTACTGCTACAGCTCCCTGTCCTGCAGCTCCAATGCAAAGAACATCACAATCTCTCCGACGCTCACGTCCTTTGCTCCAAAATCTTGCCTAATGCAGCCCCCCTCTCATCTTTGTTTGTGCTTGGCCGTAGACGACTGCGTTCCTTCTCACCACCCCCATCTCCTCCACGGTTACGCTTGCGAACGGACTCGCCAGTCTCCATTGTTCCCATTGTTCCACCTGCGTTGCTAGGTACAAGTTCAGCTGCAGTTGACCCCACAAGGCGTAGACCACATGGGGGATCTGCAAATGGCTGACCAACATTGTTCGGATGAACCATAATTTTGTGCTCCGCCACACGCAGACCACATGGGTGATCTGCAATTGACTGACCAGCAAACAACCCAACACAGTTTGGGCTTGCAACACCATCTGGGTGATCTGCAAATTGTTGGCCAGCATACAACAAACCAGCCTGAGAACCTCACCAATCTCTGTGGTCTGACAGCAACTAATATCTGTCTTCACATTCTCCATCGCCCGTATTATACACCATCAGACTTCCTTGCAATCGCCCTTCAGCTTGATGCTGATCTTCCCCAACGACAGCCAGAGGATTGTAATTATACCAGCGAAGGAGGCTTTACCATTGCTGTCCTACAAGTAGCAGGTGTATAAAACTCCACACTCCATACTTTCCCTTACTTTCCCTTTATCGTTCTTTGTTTGTCTGCTCTCCATCTCTCCTCCCTGTGTTTATCCCCTCCCCCTTCACTCTGCCTCTTTCTCACAGCGTACAAGTGGGCCGTTATGGCACACGGGGATGGGGGCAGCTCGCGCTCAACTTCGTCAACGTGGCGAGCCTTGTACGTGAGAGGCACGGTGAAAGGGGAGTCAAAAGAAGAATGAGTAAAATGAATGGTTTCACTGTGCCCTTCATGTTTGTCTTGTTTTTTTTTTTCTTTTTTTTTTTGCCGTTTGTTTTGCAAATTGCACTCTTTTAGTTCATAGTTATGTGACAATATATCTTTGATTTTGGTTAAGGTAGATTATCATTTACAGTGTAATCAGTGAGGGGATTCTGCAGACTGTTGAGGGTTCAGCCTCCTGATGAGTCGGTGAAACTCCGACGAAACAGTTTGTCACAGCCCCTCGTTTGTTGTCCTCTTCTCTCTCTCTGCCTACGGTTTACCGGGCAGTTCTGTTTGTGACGATACGCCCGAATGTATGGGACCCCTTGGGGATGCGTTCGGCCGTTCGGGCCGAACGCGGACCCCCCAAAAAAAATAATAATAATAAATAAAGTCATCAAAAGAATCTGAAAAAAATATATGTTATGGAGAAAAATAAATTAAACAAGATTTGCCTGATCATTACATCCGACTTCCTTACCAAATTTGAAATAAAAATAAAAGACGGAAAACAAATACTAATAATAAAAATAAAAAGAGAATTAAATTTAGTGAGTGTGCGAGCATGTTTTCGACACCGCCATCTTTGGCGATTTTTAATTATTTTTTGGCATAGCTAAATGCCCTGAAAATTTACAGATGTGTACTTCACATAATACAAAACCCACTAAAAAGTTTCAAAAAATAATAAAATTGTTTAGACCCCGAACTAAAGTGAAAACAAAAAGTAAAAAGTGAAAACAAAAAGTAAAAAGTGAAAAAATACGTGGGCGAGCACGTTTTGACACCGCCATCCTTGGCGATTTTTAATTCTTATTTGGCTTAGCCAAATGACTTGAAAATTTACAGGCATGTACCTCACGTCATAGAGAACTCACAAAAAATCATTCAGAAAAAAATAATTATCTTTAGGCCCCGAAATAATTTTTGGCGGGGGCCGAACGCCGTCGGGTTCGGACCCCGTACGGGACCCCGAACGCCCGTACGTATGGAGGTCTGGCCGGGGACCTCCGTACGTACGGGCTGGTGACCCTGTATACAGCCTCCTGATGAGTCGGTGAAACTCCGACGAAACAGTTTGTCANNNNCCCTCGTTTGTTGTCCTCTTCTCTCTCTCTGCCTACGGTTTACCGGGCAGTTCTGTTTGTGACGATATATATATATATATATATCGTCACAAATAGAACTGCCCGGTAAACCGTAGGCAGAGATATATATATATTCTGTTTGTGACGATATATATATATTATCCTGGAAAGGTAGGCACCAAATCGACACCCCCGATTGTTTCTTGGAATTTTCGGTGGTCAATGCTGAGTGCGAAACTGCCACCAACCCCCCTCAAGGGCCAGTGCAGCAACTGGAAAAGTCCATTTTCCATGGGGGGGGGGGGAACTGGTGGCTTAATGTGAGGTTGATGTACCAGCCAAGCCTCCGTTCGTGGAGAGAAATATTGGTAGTCCTGTATGGATAACCAACCCGTTGCGGCAGCGTGTATTATGTGGCTCATGGTTTACTGTTGCTGCTGCTGAGCCACTGTTTTGTCTGAACGAGTAGTGGTGCAATGTTTCCTGGAATCTTGGATGTATTATTTATGAAGGGCATGCTTCGACTGTTGTTGCTGGTGCCCCCCACGGCTTCACATAACCAGTTATGAAATTTGTAGGTAATTTGAAGGCTTGATCCAATTATTATCTCTAATGCACTTACTTATCCTTCTGGCACTCTTGATATAAGGCTTAAGGTTCAACGCCTTGACATTACCTGCTCTGTGTCATTTCTGTCCATTTCTTTCCATCTGACTGCCAACTGATGCCAAATACTTGGCTTCTTGTATGTGTGCCAACTGTCAAATTATGTTGTTCGAACTTCGAAGGTGAATGAGAAGACTACTGCATTGGAATGCGCACCAAGGCCATTGTGTGAGTTCAGCTATGAGGAGTTACAGGTAAGCCCATTCTGCTTCTCAACTCTTTCCAAGTAGGTCTTTTCTTCTGAAGAAGAGTTCAGTGACATAATTGGCAGTTTTTTTGGTATATTACTATCTGTGCATTGTTTTTGCAGTGGTGTACTTTCATGAGTGTTGTGTGCAAATGCATGTCCTTGTTTTGTAACTCAAATGATTTTGAGTGTGCCTTTGGGTTGAGTAAGACCATGGCAACCGGCCGCACGTCTGGACCGGAATCCAGACGGTCCGGTTGTCTGGGTATGGGTCCGGTGGCTGGTCCGGTCTGGATTGGGCCCAATTTTGAAAAATTCGAATTTTTTGAAGGGGGGTCCTGTCCGATTGTCTGGTGCCTGTCCGGATTACCAGACGTCTGGACCAGTCCAGACAAATGTCTGGGCCTCGGTCCAGACATGTCCGGGTCCGGGTCCGGGTCCACGGTTGCAATGAGTAAGACTGAGAGTTATCCAAGAGGGGGATCTGAAACTTGGAGGAGGTCTAAAGGCATCGCCAAACGAACCGCCGTCACCCCGAAGTCTAATCTAATCTAGGGTTCACATAAAATGACACTAACTACAGTGATGACAAGGGGTATCAGAGAAGGCCCACCATTTGACCGTTAAAACAGGCGAAACAGTAAGGGAAAAGGAAATCTGTCCAATCAGTCCAATCTAAAAAGGATCACGAGACCCTAAATGCCTTCTTCCCAAAGACCAACCACAAGACGGGACGGGTAATGATGTAATTGATCTCATAGCAAATCGCAGCTCAAGCAACCCAATCAAGCACTCTAATTACTAAAGAACGAAAGCTAGCGATACATCTACTGTGTAGTTAACAATACCGGGCATAGGAGGAGAACCCAAATCGACAGTATGGTCATTGGCAGCAGCAAGCAACCGAAATCGCAGACAGCTTATAACAACACTAGAAGGACAACACCCCCAACGTACAACTGGCCAGAATGGCAGAGGGGAGAACCAGATAGATCGTCTCCGTCCTCCGTCTTCCTCACAGAGCCAGCATCCATGTATGCAACTACCAGGTTCCAACGGGAAAACGTAAACAAGAGAAGTCGAAAGAAAGACACAAAAAAAAGGCAAAAAGAAGCCCTGAGTAACCACGAGTAAGTCCGACGGAGAAAGCCAACCACCATCATACCAAAATGGCCAATTAAAAAAAAAAGAAAAAAAAAAAGGCCAATCTGCCCCGCCAAGATCAGAGAGGAACAGCCGTTGGAAGGAAATAAACCACGCACCAAATGAATTGCAGATACGTGCTACCTTCAGTAGCAGCCATCCTCTAACTCAAGAAGATAGAATCTCGTTCCTGATCTCGCACCGATACATACAACAAAATAAGGTGAATCGCGTTCCAAAGCACATGCAGGCGTCTATAACCTTCATCCACTTCAACCATCGGCGGGCAAATTGCAAATCCTGTCCCCCGTATCCAACCACTCATCGCTCCTCAACAGTGAAAGATAGGCCAATACATCGTGTCAAAGACCAACGGAGATCAGTAATGTATACTGCCACCAGTCAAACAGCGAGTGAATACAACGAGTCTCTCTCTAAGTAACGAAGCAATACATACTCCCTTCGAACCCTCCAATGAAGAACTCGTGTGAGGCGAAGTTCAGGAATTAGTAGATGATAAGCACACAAATGTGATCTCAACAATGCTGATCCCTGTAATTACCCAACAACAAGCGGACGTACAGAATTTCACAGACTCCCAGGGGAAAGTCTGCTGAAATGCATTGCCTGATAGATCTGGCCAGTGTCCGTCCGTCGCTGAGGGTCGGGGTGTCAAAGGACACGTCTGTGGTCACCTGCCATTCGTGAAACTTGGTCTGGAAACAAACTGGGACCAAGGGCCTGACGGCCTTGATGGTCTTTCGGTCCGACACTGCCGTCTCTGTGACATGAGGAGCTTTGTGCTCTGCAACTTTCTTTTTTTTAGGGGCCATGCTAATCTTCTCTGTATCGTTCCAATTTTAACGGATGTCCCGAAGGACAATGCTCTGCAACTTTCTGAATTGTGAAGTATTCCTTCTTGTCCTCCTGTTTGTACTCTTCATTTTGATCGAACAGACGTTTTGTCTGCGCTGCCACGATAGCAATTTCTTGTGTGAGCAGACGCTGTTCATTAGCGCCTAACTGATTCGTTAAGTGAGCAGATCGAAACTTTGCAGACGGCTGTGATGTGATGGTTCTGACTGCCGTCTTCACCCGAATAGAACGCCCAGTCATTATATATTGTTTTTATGGCAACTTTCAGTCCAGATGCAGCAATTATGGCTTTCTGTTTGGGTGAAGACGGTAGCATGCTATGCTTTGGAGGGATTGATTCCCGCATTGGTTTCAGTAAGTCGTCTTCACGCCGCTGGCTGCTGTGTGACTGTTGACTTCGATTCACAAACTTAAATAGCTATGTTTGCCACTGTTTCATGTTTGTATGTGGGATCCGGTTGCGTTGTTGGTGGATGTATTTCCATGACAGCAAGCAACAGATGACTTCAGTGATTCAAGAAAACTGGGAGAGAGCAGGTTCGGGGCCACATATGTTGGTGAGATGCAGATTGGGCGTGTTGCTGTGAAAATTTTACGTTCTGGATGGGACCAAGATCTGTCATGTGAGGAGTTGAGGAAGGAGGTGGAGACCCTGAGTTGCATCCATCACCCCAATCTTGTAATGCTACTTGGTGCTTGTATTGAACGGCGATGCCTTGTTTACGAGTTTATGAATAACAGCAGTCTTCAGGACCATTTATCAGGACGATCCAACATGGATTCCCTGTCGTGGCATGTACGGTTCCAAATTGCTGCAGAGGTACGAAGATGATCACTTCCATTTGACTTTGCCACTGTTGTACTTGACACTCTGCTTGCTCTCTCATTAATAAACAAATAGTAATGTGTACGATCCGGTGAAATGAGCCGAGTACTCACCAAGCTTCATCCGCAAACAGCAATGAACATTTCACACGAGAGTTCACATGTGGGAAGCCAAAGCTGAGATTCAATCAACACATGAGGAAGTCATCTCCAAAATTATCATAATAATACAAGAAATGTTTATGTCTCCAGCGGCTCTGCCTCACTCACACACACACTCAGGACTGATCTCAACTGAATGGTGACTATGGCTTCTCTCTCTCTCACACCCTCTGCCGCTTGCTCTTCTCTCTCTTACTTGGCTCGCTCGGCCTCACTCTCTGCATCTACTCTAGATCGTAACCCTGGATACACCCACTCGGGTAAGCCTCACACTTGGCGGCTATGGCCGCCCTACTCCCTATCTTCTTCTACCCTAGCTATGGAGTAGCCCTCGACCGCCCCCTTCCTCTTCAGGCGCGAAGTGCCCAAGTTGCCTTAACTGACAAGCAGCAGCAGCGCTTCCGCATCTTGCAATTGAACAAGTGATGAGGCGCTGCACTGTAGCAGCTAAATATAGGACTTGACTTGGCTTGGCCTGCTTCGGACTGGTACTGGTCGGCTGTGGCCTGTCTGCTGCAAACATTTTGTTGGTCCGGTACCTTCCGGACTTTCCTGGGACATGCTGCAAAATTGGACTTTGGACTGTTGGACTGGACTGGACCTTTCTGGACTTTTCTTGCCGGGTACCGGACAAACTTCTACCAACCTACGACGTTTCGGGACCAACACCTACCGATCTATGGACCCTACGGCCTATCCTACCGGGACAGCCTGTACTGGGACAATTCGGGACTCTTGGACGGGAACTGGGGTGTATGCAGCGTTGAATCCTTTCACCAGCTTCTGATTACACGTTTATCTCTCTTTTATCCTTTCCTTCTCTTTCTTTATTCTTTACTTCTTGTTTTCTTTCTTTTCTTTTTTAAAAGGCCGACGGTGTTGAGATATGATCATGGAACTGACCGTCCCTAGGTAACGAAGAATTCTACTATTTTACTCATCTGCTTCTAGTGGACTTCGAAATCTGCACCTGGTCCGTATTTCAACAATTCAGGAGGTGTACCAACTGAGCTAGGCCAGTTGGTGATCACACGTTTATCATTCTGCTAATGGTCTGGCATTAATCATTCAACAGCATATGGACTCCGTTATAACTTGTCGTGCTGTGAATGCGAATTGCATTATCAACATAAAAGGTTTTCAGAATGGGCATCCAACTCGCTTCATGAAAAGAACCTTGCAAGAAGCGAAACTTTCCAACAACTGGAACTTATAAGTTGTAATGAATATAGGGCAGAGCCATCACTTCTGCAAAACGTATTGTGAGGTACACGTGTGCTCCAAACATTAGCCACCGGTCTTACACCTGCGGCCATGAGATCAATTGTAAACTACTGGTTATTCAGATCCTGATATTTGAGGGGTAGGTAACTTAAGGATGTGGGGCTTTTGTGATGACACTTGTGTCTGCAGGGTCTATTCGGGGTCTTGGTCTGGCTGTTGCTTCTGTCAGGCCTGGGCTGGCCAGTCCTGAGTTTTCTGAGATCGACGGACCTGCAGACTGGTAATCTACCAGGCAAGGACTCTTTTGGACTGACCCTGACCCTTTAGGCCCTTTTGACTTCTGGAGTTAGTCGCGTGCACTTCTACTTGGCTGACACTATTTAATTGGTCTGTTGGGCTCGGTCTGCTGCTTTTGTTCAACCCTACCTTGGTCCGGTTGCACAAGGGCTGAGATCCCTGCTCTACATCTTGTTTCATAGAGTTGCTAACGGATGATGGCTAATTATTTTCGGACATTTTCGGTTGTCCTGTGTGTGCAGGTTGCTCGTACGCTTCATTTTCTGCATACGTGTTTCCATGAACCCGTGGTCCATCGTGATCTCAAACCGGCAAACATATTTCTGGACAAGAATCACGTCAGCAAAATCGGCAACTTGGGACTCAATAGGCTCATGCCGCAGGCTGTCGCTGGTAAATTCACAACACGTCTCCTTCTCCGCTTATTCCATGCCCCACCTGAGTTCATAACTAACTAGTAACTAGTTGATTGCTGGTTTCTTCCCTGAATGAGTGATGTCAAAGGCTTTATCCCAATCTGCCTGTTTTCTTTCCAAGTTGTCTGAGATGGTCTGTGAGATGTCCGGAAATCTGGGCCTGGGGCTGGTTCACAGTGTCACCCTCGGTCGCATACCTGCCTGCCGCCGACCACGACCGCCAACCATTTTGCAGCCGACCAGTAGGGTCGGCGGTCGGCGGTCTGCCGACCAGTCAGTAAACAGCCATCCACTGATTTTTTTGGGGGGGGGTATAGGGGGTTATAGGGTGGTATAGGGGGTATTTGGGGGGAGTG